TTTTGTATACCCTGTCCCTGTATTTTTGTATGTCACACCTAGGTCTGTGGGTTGTGATCGAGTATAGGAAGAAGGAAGGTCCCTGATCTCTTGGCCATCAGGGATTTAGCCTGTATTATCAGAGTTGAGTAGATAAAAAATGCTTATCAAACTTTTCTGGTGAGATATATTATCCCTTGTTCAGACTGAGGTGATACAGAGCCCCTCTTATTGACTACACCCATCCATTGTGAAGCTTTTATCCAGCTAAACGCTGTGGGAGGGGGTACAGATTGTGATTTAAGTGTCATAGACTCCTGCTATTCTTATCAAGATTTTTTGAGTAAATATGTTTGTGTGTGTGTGTATATGTGTGTGTGAGAGAGTGTGTGTGTGTGTGTGTATGTGTTTACTGTGTTCTAAAAACTGTAACTGGTTGGGTTATTAAAAATAATTTCCAGTTACGCTGGTTTTACTGGAGCATGTCTGTGGAGCTTCTTACAAGGCCATTCCAGAAGTGATGCCATGATGTGATTAGCTCCCTTTTTATTGTTCAGTTGTTCTAAGTGTAGATGTTCTAACTGGTTTACCAATAACTTCTGGTAAACGGAATAACCGTTCCACCCATTGTGTTCTTAAGGAATCTTATTAAAATGGGCCAGCAGTTCCATATCATCATGAAGGAAATGTAATATTTATACAATAAATTTCATTGACCCTCTGAGCGTTACCTTAGGATACATACACACCACAAGTCAACATGAAGATAAGTGCTATTGTTATCCTTTGTTAATTTTTCTGCCCAAATTGCCAAACACTTAATTGAGCAATTTCAATTTTTATAACTTCCCATGACAGCTGTACTTTTTAAAGGATATTTATATATAAGTGTATATCGATTGGAAGTTCTAGTTGGGAAATGAAAAAGAAAGTGTGGGGGAGGAAGGAGATGTAAAGTATCTGGTCGGGGGAGGGGGCAGGATTGGAAAGGGTGGGTTCAGGGGAGTTAAAGTTTATAATTAAACATTATTATATAGCTAGATTTAATCCCTGACCAACAAAGTATTTGAGCACATTATGCTGCCTTCATCAGCATATTCTTTGATATTAACAATAAATGCTGGCTGAATTGTTGAACATACAAATCTCCAAGAAGCAGGAATGAATTGGGCTTACCCTTCTGCCCCCTGGCTGCCTTCTACTGCCTTCCCTATTCCTACTAACCCAACATTTATAAGGAAATATTTCCTAAATATAATCACCTTTTAAGCAATATAAATAATATTTCTTTCTCCATTCTTCCCTCTGAAAAGTCAAAGTTAACATTTTTTCCCTTCTATCACTGGGATTCAAGAAATTAATTAAGTGGGCTAAAATACTTAGGTGTCCTAGTTTGTAATTATCTCTGCCCCAGATTACAGAGAGTGGAAGAGCCCTTGTATACTTCTAAGAATCATAGAGTTGAAAACTTGTAGTTTTTTTATTAGAACTTTTAGTCCTTTAAGTGGTTACCTATTCACTGCATAAATACCTTTTTACACTGTCAAGTGCACATTCTACCTTTTCTTGGATAGTTACTTTATTGGATCCTCTTGCCTCAGCCTCTCAAGTAGCTGGAATTACAGGTGAGCACCATAGAGCCTGGCTTAAAACTGTTTTTAAATGGTATTCTTTACATGGTCACCATTATCTCATCACCCTTCTCTGATGTAATTAGTATCTCTTTTAAAGTGTGATGTCCCAAAGTAGAAATTAGAACTTTACATCAGAAGTTGGCATCCTTGGGGCTCAGTTATAGAGCACTTGCCTAGCACATCTGAGCTACTGGGTTCAATCCTCAGCACCATATAAAAATAAATAAAATAAAGATATTGTGTCTATCTACAACTAAAAAAAAATGTTTAAAAAAAAGTTGGCATCTTTTGTCTGTAAAAGGCCAGATATAAATATTCTAGATTGGGATGGCCAGATAATGTCTATCACTACTACTGAACTCTGCCTTTGTAGTGTGAAAGCAACTATAGACAATACTAAACAAATTAGCATGATTGTATTCCAGTAAAACTACATTTACAAAAATAGGTGACTAGGGTAGATTTTGCCCATATATCATAGTTTAACTAACTAGTATAGAGCCCAGTGTAATTATATCTTCATTTGTGAATGCAGTTCTTGAAGTAACATTTTTGTAAGATTGTATTAAAATATTTTGTATTATATTAGCATAGCTACTGCAGTCTTCTCTTGGTTACTGTTTGAATGAGATCGTCAAAAGTATATCTTATAGATAGCATGTAGTTGGATCATATTTTCTTTTAAACCAACCTTTTTGTTTTCATTGACGTATTTAGTGTGTCTACATTTAGTGTGATTACTAATAAAGTACATATTTATGCCATTTTCCTCTTTTTGTTTTCTACAAATGTCTCTTCATTCTTGTATTCCTTCAGTACTTTATTGTATAAAATACTCGTTAGTAAATAATTCCATTCCCTCCATCTTCCTTTATTATCCATACAAATTATTATCTTTTGTAAAGCAATCAACATGCTTTATAAACTTAATATTCTGTAAAATCAAATAAGAGAAGAAAAGAGTTACAAGCAAAATTATGTTTTATACTCTTTTTCATATACATAAAAGTTACCTTTAGGGGCTGAGGGCATAGCTCAGTGGTAGAATGTATGTTTAAGCACATGCAGGGGCCTGGGTTCAGTCTCCAGCATCACAAAAACAACAACAAGAAGTTATACTTATTAGTGCTTTTTATTTCATAGATTAGAATTGATTTATTGTTTAGTGTCCTTTCATGTCTGCCTGAAAGACTCCCCATAAAATCTCTTGTAGAGTAGGTCTGTTAGCTTGTTAACACTAATTTTTTTTTTTGCCTGTTTTGGTTTTATTTCCCTTTACATTAACCAAATTATATTTTTGCTCAATATTATTTCATTATTTCATATATGTTGTGTTTAGCTGTATTTTATTTTGCATTGTTGTGCATTATATTCCATAGTATGAATATAACACAATTTATTTATCTGTTCTACTGGTTGGTAGACTCTTCAGTTTCTAGGTTTAACTATCCAAGAAGAATTTGTGAGAATTATGTAAATGTTAAGAATTGTGAGCGTTCTTATACACATCTGTCCCTGGGTGCACACAATCATACACCTTTAGAGAATAGACCTAGCAGTAGAATTTCTGAATATATATAATCACAATGTGTTGGATATTGTCAAGAACTCTTTTTCAAAGTAGTTGTGTCTGTTATTACTCCCATTAGCAGCATGTGAGAATTGATTTTTAGATATTAGCCATATCTGTGGGTATGTAATGATATCACATTATGGCTTTAATTTGAAGTACTCTCATTACTCATGAGAGTAAGCACCATGTTATATATTTATTGACTGTAAGGATTTTTCTTTTGTGTAATACCTTTTTAAGTCTCTTCTTGGTTTTTCCATTAAGTTGTTGGTCTTTCTTCTATTGGCTTTGGTTAGGTTGTTCAGTGCTTGAGTAAAAAAAAAACACTCCAAAATCCAGAAGCTTATTTTTGTTTGCAAATCTGCAATTGAAGCAAGTCTCAGCTAAGACAGGTTTTCTCTCTTCCCTTGTACATCAGCCAACATAGCTCAGCTAGAGGCTGGAGGACCTACTTTCAAGATAGCTCACTCATAGCTGCCACCTTGGTACTGGCTATAGGTTGGTAGCTCACCCAGGGATATAGGTCCTAGGTCTCACTTTCTTTTCAGAAAGGCGTCTATCTGGGTTGCTTTTAGTTTTTTCATAACATAATTGCTTGGTCTCAAAACCTAGCGTTCCAAGAAAAAAAGGCAGAAATGCATGGCATTTTTATGATCCAGCCTTGAAAATCACAGAGCATTGCTTTAACCATATTGGTTAGGGCAGTCTCAAAGGCCTGCACTGTCAGAAGAGAGCATATGTTTAACATCTGTCACATATTTATTTGCTGTGTGTTTATTTTCTATGGTAAAAAATCTGGTCAAACCTTTTGCCCCCATTTTTTTTCCCCCTGTGGTTCTGGGGATTGAACCCAGGGCCTTGTGCATGCAAGGTAAGCACTCTCCCAACTGAGCTTTATCCCCAACTCTGCCCATTTTTTATTGGTCTTTTTTTTTTTCTCCTATTTACTTCTTATGGAATTTCTTGAATTCTTTCTATACTCTGTATACATGTCATTTAATAAGACAGAATTTAAAGTTATTTTCTCTCACATTTAAATTCTTGCCTTTCACATTTTCTTAACATTGTTTTTGGAAGAACAAATATTGTTTATTTTGGTGAAAATCAAGTTATCATTTTTCTTTGTATACTGTATGATATTATGTATATGAAATCTTTGCCTAGCTGCCACATTTTTTTTCTTTAATTAATAAAGTTTGTTGTTTACAGTATATTAAAGTTTGTAACAAAACAGCAGAAAATAGAGTTCCCATGAATGCCTTGTTCCTTCCATACCACTTCTCCATACATACACAACTTGAGTTTTAGAGAGAAACATTTATTAGAGTTCAGGAACCTACATTGATACACATCATTATTATTCAAGTCCATGATTTACATTAGGGTTCACTCTTGGTGTTTATGATTTGTAGGTTTTAACAAATGTATACGTATTCATGTAATAATTCCTGTTCTCTATAATCAGACCCTTCTCTATAAATAGCATATATGGACCTTCTTGTCTTAAGATCTCTGGAGATCTATTTGATCCTTCCAATAGTAGAGCACTCAGTCAGGGCACCTAAAAGGAGATACAGAAAATATGGGGACTTCTAGTTACAATAAAATCCTGAATATATTCCAGAACATAAGAACTTCTGGGGCCTTCTACTGCCTGATACTTGAAATAATTGTCCTAATGCCATCCATTTTTGGTAGACTACAAATAAAATCCTTGGTTCTACACCTTTCTCTTAACATAAGGGCATTTTTTCCTTTATAGGTATGAGACATGCTTTTGAAAATAAAAACTGACAGCTTCCTTTTTTCCTTAGGTCTGACGGTAACTGCTGTAAAGGACTCAGGAGAATGGAATTTGGAGGCTGGGGCATTAGTACTTGCAGATGCAGGCCTTTGCTGTATCGATGAGTTTAACAGCCTTAAAGAACACGATAGAACCAGCATCCACGAAGCAATGGAACAACAAACCATAAGTGTTGCTAAGGCTGGGTAAGCATTTCTTTTCTTTAAAATCTATGGAAACAGATTATTTAATTCATGGTTTAGAGAAAATAGGAACCTTACTTGTTCTATCTGGATTATCAGCTATTACCATTCAAGATATACCTTTCAAGTTTTTCCTTATTAGAATACAGAGGTATGGGAGGAGGTAAAAATGAGTTATTGGGGGAAAAGCAAGTATAAATGTAGATTGATATAACCAATGGAATGGATTTATGAAAAGTTTTCAATATGGGAATCAACTCATTTTTTTCTTTTATTCAGCAAATATTGTATTCTGGGCATATCATTGTATTAGGAATTTTGAAAGATTCAAGAAGGAAAAAAGATCATAGTTTCAGCTTTCAGTAGCTTCTTATACATCTATGAAAGGTTGACCACAGCATATGGAAACCTAAATAATAAGTAACATATATTTGCATAAGATGAAGTGCCTTTTGTGACTCAGTGATGCTCAAGATTGAAGTACATGAATCTCTGTCTACATATAACCAAGGGAATGAATAATAAGCCAGGTTTAGACAGAAATCCACTCACCCAGGCCCTGAGGTGGCTACCAGAAACTTACCTGACTATAAAGGTTGGCCACCTACACAAACAAGCTTCCAGGCCTTCCACACACGCAATAGGACTAGAGCTATCTCAGCCCTAACGTTGCTATTAAGGGTGCAAATAGAGCTGCCAGCAGTGTTTTCAAATAGTAGTGGGTACTTAGAAGCCAGACAGATGCTGGTATATATAGATTCTATGAGATCTATTTATATACCTTAGTGAAAAAGTAATGGAAATTGAGGGAAGAAGGAAAAGAGAACAGAATATAGCCCATAGGAAAAGCATACCAGAAAGAACTAGGCAGAACCATTATCAGATCTATTCATTTGTTCATTCACTCTATGTTTCTTAAGAACCTGCCATATGCCAAGAACCATGCCAAACACTAAGAAGTGCAACAATGCACTGAAAATTGTCCTTGAGATATTACTATTTGATTGGAAAAGACAGACAAAAATAATGAAAAAGTGGTAAGTTCATAATAAAAGTGTCACAAGAAAGCATAATATGACTTCTAAACTTTTTAGAAAGGGAAATTAGACATATAGTTTTTAAGTGTCTTCCAAGAATGAATTTCTATGCCTCCATTTAATTGATATCTTTGGCGATTAGTAGATTTTATGTTTTATTTTCATGTGCCTTTTCCAGAGATAATCTGGGATATTTTGCAAGATTTCTAAAAAATTAATCCTTTTATCAGGAAAATTTTAAGACAAATTCTATGAATCTGTTTAAGAAAAGGAGAAAATTAGTGCCATATATAACAGACTACAGAATAAATATTTGGAAGCAGAAATATTTTATTAACCACCTTTACTATCTGACTCCTTGCAAAATGTGAATTAGTATGAACTTTTTGTGGTATCTAAAATATGTTGTGAGTTTCACAGTCAGCTTTCTCTGGCTGAACAATTTTCATGATACCAAGAGGCTAGACATTTTTTGATAACTATTTTATGCATTGGAACAATGCTTTTCACTGACTATGGCAATAACCAGTTTTATTGTTTTTGCAGTCCATCACAGAGCCTGTTTTTTTGTTGTTGTTGTTTTGTTTTTGTTGTTGTGGTTATTGTTTTTTGAGATGGGAATTTCCACTAAATTGTCCAAGCTGGCCTCAAACTCTGGATCCTCTTGCCTTAGCCTCCTGAATAGCTGGGATTACAGGTGTGCACCACTCCACTCCTCTCTGAGCCATGCTTTTATAAAACACATAATAAAAATGGATTACTATAACAGTGAAAAGGCAAAGATCTACAAAATATAAGCCTAAAAAATCCTTATAAGAGAAATATAGATAGCCTACAAAAATCTCAACTCTGAAAATTTATCAGAGCACTGAGGTCATAAACACAAGGAATCTTAATTTCAAAGTATAACAAGCCCTCTAGGGAAAGTTGAAGCACACAAACTGTTTTACCATTGACAGAGCATGAAGGAAAAGGTGGCTGCCACAGAAATAAGACGTAACTAAAAATTTCATAATTCCCAAAAGTCCAAGTGTGGGTTAGCATACCAGTTGAGAATAACTGGGAGCTCTAAACACAATGAGAATTCTTTTTCACTTGCAAGCTCTTTTCCAGTGGTCTGTACCAGATATGAGAAAAATTGAGCAGGGAAGAAAAACAGAGAGCTCCTCTTTTCTTCTCATCAGTAATGTTAGCAAAAGGAGGTGACTGCTTCTGGGTGATAGGCCTGAGACCCTGGGCTGCTTCATGGATACCTCTTATATGAAGCAACAGCTATAAATTACTGGGGGAAAGACAGTAAGCCTTTGCATTTACAGGACCTCTGTGGAAAGGGAAGAACCAAAAAACCCGTCTGATTCTGGATGAGTCCTTCTCTTCACCAGGAGACAGACAAATGCACACTGATTCTCGAAGAATAGAGGCAAAAATTCTCTTGAGTCTAAGATGTTGAACCAATACAAATATAGTACAGAGCAGCAGTCTGCTACCATTGGAAGAAGGACAGAAAAATCCCTCTGCCCAAGAACCACCATAATTTCATGGCAGAGTCCAACAGTCATAGGTGGGAGGAAGAGAAAGCCTTATCCATCTGTATTCAATCCTATTCAAGAAGAGGCACATAGACCTTGCCTAAGACAAAGGAGACTAAGATCCACCCTGGACCCAAAATGAGCGTACATTGAATAACAAGCAACAGCAGTGTGGCACTGGGGAAGATACAGGAGTATACAGAGACCCCCTCTATAATATAGGTGTACAATGGTTGCTGTGGAGTAGTGACACTGAGGATAATCTTCCATCACTGCACTGTAATAACCCCCCACTCAGTGAAAGGTAAAGGCACCTCCATACTGAAAGGATTAAAAGTCTGTGGTACATAAGGTAACAATAATATCACCAATGTCTGTTGAGAGCCACAGCCGAAGGGGCCCCAGCAAACTTCCAGCTGCCGGCTGATGATTGGCTCACAGCGGCCCCAGCAACATCTAGCTGATTGGCTCCTCGGCCCCAGCAACATCTAGCTGATTGGCTCCTCTGCGGTGATGCTCATTGGGCTGTTTCCCTGCCCTTTCAGACCACGGAGCTGCTCATTGGGGGACTTTTTTGGCTCCGCCCACGTGACCCAGCCAATCGGCCTCAAGAGCAGGAGGATTGTGGGAGGTGGAGAGAAGCTTGTGTGGGAGAGAGAGGCTTGTGGAAAGCCGGTGGTGGCAGTTGAGGCTCTGAGGGTTTTTCCTGAGAGGCTGTTTTGTTTGGCGTGTGTGGTTCTAAAAATAAAGTTAGTTTCTTTTGACAAGTGGCTCCTGATTGTGCCCAGCCAGACTGCGGCAAATGTCCAGTTTAACTGTGATGGCCTGATAGACACTGATAGCCTTTTAGAAGGAACCAGTCCTTTTCTGGTATAAACAACTGTTTCATCTCATTCTTTGCTGTGCTTCCACTCAGTGTGCCTGGTACATGGTCAGAAATTACAAGGCAAACACAGAAGAAAAGAAAAATGGTGGGAGGAAAGAAGGAAGGAAAAAGGAAAAGAACATTTTGTTTTCAAAAGATAAAGTAATCAACAGAACCAGATTTAGTGATGAGACGGAAGTTGCAATTATAAGATACAAACTTTAAAATAACTATATATGTTGTTGAAGTATCTAGTGAGAAAGAAAAACAGCATGAATGAAGAGGGGCAAGATATAGGTAGAAATAGAAGCTTTAAATAAGTATCAACTGGAAAAGCCAAATAGTATACAGTATTAGGAATTGAAAATGCCTTAGACTTCTGAGCAAACTAGATTATGCTGAAGAATGATTCAGTTAACTTATAAGTCTATAGTAATTACCTAAAACTAAACACAAAAAGACAGAAGAATAAAAAATACATACAGTGGTATGGCATGATGCCAAATTTTGTGACAAATAGTTTACTAGAATCACAGAGGAAAAGGAGGCAGAAGGAATATTTAAAGAAGCCATGGTAATTAATTATACAAAAATTATTGATGAATATCAAATTACAGATTCAAAGGACTCAGGGGACTTCAAGCAGAAAAATACTACACAGGCACACACACACTCATACTATATATCCGGACACATTATAATCATGCTGCTGAAATCCAAAGATAAACTCTTTAAAAGGCCAGAAGAAAAATAAAAACTTTTTGCCGCAGTCTGGCTGGGCACAAAATCACGAGCCACTCTCTTAGCAACTTTTCATAAGGAAAAACAGAGATGAGAATTGAGAAGAAAATTTGTCAACCTAGGAAACAGCATTCAAAATTTATGGCAAAATATTTGTTTAGACAAGCAGATCTAGAGTAAGAAATTTTTATTTAAAGGAAGTTCTCCAGACAGAAGAATATGATTCCCAGTGAAAATCTGGTTCTACACAAATGAAGAGCATTGGAAATGGTAGGTCATAAGAGAAAATAAAAAAATAATCAACAGAACCAGATTTAGTGATCACTTACCAAGGTAATTATCTATAGCAAAAAAAAAAAAAAGACAGTAGTAGCCTAAAGAACAGAAGGAGGAGACGGAAGTTTGCTGTTACAAAGTTTTTACGTTATCCATAAAGTGGTCCAATAATGTTTAAAGGTAGACTAATAACATAACGATGTAAACTCTAGAAAAAACATGAAAACAGAGGAGTCATAATAATAGCCAGTTATGGAGATAAAATGGAATCATAAAAAATAATCAGAAAGGGAACAAATAATAAATGGGCCAAATAAAATACAATTAGCAAAATAACAGATTAATACAAAAAGAGTGTGTGGTACTGAGAGTTGAATCTAAGGCCTTTTGTATGTTAAGTATGTGCTCTGCCACTGAGCCACATACATGCTTACCTCCAACTGTATGAATAATTATACTAATAATAAATCGTGTAAAACAATTAAAATTCAGGGACTGTCAGGTTGAATAAAAAAGCAAGCTCTGACTATGCGATGCTCTAAAGAAACAGACTTT